CCGGGCAGGTCCGCAAGCCTCGCCTCGTTGCGCCCGTTCTTACCAGAGCTTCCCTCGAGGTTCCTGCCAGATAGCAGGGCTCTCCCCCGGGGAAAGGAAGCTTCCATGTGTCCCCAGTGCGGGGGGGGGGGGGGGGACCAGCCCTTGCTGCCCAGGAGGTGGCGTCCCCTGCCCTCCAGGCCCTGCCCAGGTGCCGGTGGGAGAAGGGAGGCTGGGATCGGGCTCCATGCAGGTTTGGGGTACAGGATCCGTGCTGCCATATTTGAGGGAGTCCCGAGGAGTCTGGTGTGTTTCTTTTTAGGCTGTCGTGACTTGAATGCTTCTTCATTCTAAGGCCCCTACCTTCCAGGAAACGTTTTCCCCTGAAAAGATGGCAAATGAACCTGTTCCCGTTTTGTTGACTAACAGCCGTGAAAAATAAAGTCAGCGAGTCCCCGCTGTTTGGGAGGACCTTGGTCAACATGGATATTCAGGACAAAACTCACCCTTCCTCAGCCCGACACGTTTACCATCATAAAAAAACAGAGACCTTGCGGTCTGCCAGGCACCCCTCGCCAGCCAAGCTGAGAATGCGAGTCTGGACGTCTCCCAGCAGCGCATCTCCACCATCGGCTCACCCTGAGCCGCGCGCCGCCACCTGGTGGCCGCAGCGCATTACTGCACCTCTGCCGACCGACCAGAGGCAGCTTCAGTGGAATCGCAGGTTCCCAGGTTATGGGCAGAAAGGGAACCCTGGCCTCCTCCCAGCTCATTCTCACCTGAGACGTGGGGCGGGGGAAGCCAGAGTCACCTGCAGGGGGATCACAGTCCAAATGAGAGGGATGCTTGTGGGAAACTGCTTCTTGCTCAGTTATTTTTAACTGTTTGAGGATGTTAAAAATTTGGTGGGTTTTTTTGTTTGTTATTTTTCTTGTTAATCCTCACCCGAGGATCTTTTCCCATTGATCTTTAGAGAGAGTGGAAGAGAGAGGGAGAGACACACAGAGAGAACATCGATGTGAGAGAGACACATTGATTGGCTGCCTCCTGCACAGGCCCGACCTGGGCTGGGGATGGAGCCTGCAACCAAGGTAATTGCCCTTGACCAGAATCAAACCCGGGACCCTTCAGTCTGTGGGCCGACGCTTTAACAACTGAGAAAAACAGGTCAGGGCGATTTGGTGGTTTTTAAAAATTATTATTTTAAAAATTTTTATTTGTTCAGAGAGGAAGGGAGAGGGAGAGAGAGATAGTAACATGATATGAGAGAATCATTGATTGGCTGCCTCCTGCATGCTCCACACTGGGGATTGAACCTGAAACCTGGGCATGTACCCTGACTGGGAATCGAACCCTGACCCTCTGGTTCATAGGTTGACACTCAACCACTGAGCAACACCGGCCGGGCTTGGTTGTATTTAATATACCAATTTCTTTCCACTTATAGCAAATGTACAAGTGGAACCCTTCACTAGCATTCCCCAGTGCCCCCATCTCTGGAGTTAACACCCAGTCTCTCTTGCTCAGTATTACCATCCTCATCATTGTATTCCCCAATAAACATTCAACATGGCTTAGCTTGCCTGATCTATACATTCTGCATCGGTGATTCTCAATCAAGTTTTCTAATAAACTACCATGGAATAAAAATATACACTTTTAAAATAAGCAGAAAGTCATAAATTCAGTAATTATTTGTCTGTTTCTCTTTATGCATAGGAAATATTCACAGTGTACATATCTGAGTGAATATGTTCTGGTGGCTTCCTTCCTTCCTTCCTTCCTTCCTTCCTTCCTTCCTTCCTTCCTTCCTTCCCACCCTTCTCCTGCCTGCCTGCCTGCCTTCCTGCCTTCATAAAATGGCATTGGTTACTCTTTTCAATAATAAGCTATTAATTTGGACTAAGATAATAAACTATTCAAATTGCAGTGTTTGGCAGCACCTCACAGAGGTAAGGATGTACAGTAGGAGAATTTACCTCCTGTTTCACCTGCTCAAGAACTGTTTGCTATTTTAAATGAGGCCAGGTGATAACAGGGTGATATGCTCAGAGAATCAGGGTGAATGGACCTCAGATTTTCTTTCAAGCTTGGCCACTGCAGTCTTAAGTAGCAATGCAGAATTCCCGACTCTCCTGTTTTCCAGAATCCCATGCAAGACGCAAGGGCTCACCCTCCCACGGGGAGTCTCTCTCCCATCTCTCCTCCCTCAGTCTTTAATACCAAATTCCGAAAGGCAGATCCCTCTAAGCTTAAAAAAGATTTTGGTAGAAAATGCATGTAAACCTCAGAACCCTGAGACATGGTTAGGATGAAGCTGGTTAGTGCTTCAGGAAAGAAAAATATTTCTTTTTTTCTCTTTCTCTTTCTCTTTCTCTCTCTCTCTCTCTCTCTCTCTCTCTCTCTCTCTCTTTCTCTTGTCCTTTCTCTTTTTTCTTCTCCTCTAAATAAAGTTATTCTTTCTTGAAGTTTTTTTCTAGTTCTTTTGTTACAAAGGAGAGGGGCTATTGGAATTAGTCTTTAAAATATCCCGCTACAAGAAAGAGGTCAATTGTGGGGCATTGACTAGGAAACTTCACACTAACAAAGAAACAAATGCCCCACGTTCCCAGGTTTCAGTTTCTCTGACCGAGTCCAGAGCAGTATTGGCCTGTGGCATGTGGCCATGGCAATTTCTTTCTCCACACCCTTCCTAGGAAATCTGCTAGTTGCTAGTGAGGTCAAGGCTCAGCCAGCCCCACCCTGATACAACAAGAGTGGCCAGGGACCAGGAGGGGAGGGCTGAGATGCCTGAGATGAGGGAGTGTCCGGGACCAAGTGACCCAGTGACTGGGGAGAAGGCCCTGCTGGGAGGACCGTACCTGGCTGGGTGAGACCACAGCCCAGGAGGACTTGCTACCACCAGCAGGCTCAGGCTCGGGCGTCTCAGCATCTCCTGCTGCCATGAGCTCCAGGGGCCCCCACCTCCCTGCTGCTCCTCCAGCTGCTGCTGTCGCTGCTGCTGCTACAGGTGAGTGGCTGGGACCCGCAGGCGCCTGCTAGGATCTCTGTGCTGGGTCAGGGACCAGCCTGGGTGTGAGCTGAAGAGACGGACAGGAGCTGGCTGCAGAGATCTAGCTGGGCTCAGGTCATGATCTGTTTGAAGGATGGTGGGCCAGGCTAAGAGAGCTCCATTCAAAACTGGGTTGTACTGCACACACCCACTTTATTTACGTTTATATCAACACAAAAGTTTTCCAATGATGCTTCTGTTCACGCTTTACTCGAGACGGCGACCATCTCAACTGTGTAGGTTGTTAAAGAACAAAAGTCAAATGGGCACATTTTAAAGGTCTTAGTGGTTTTATGGAGCACTAAGCTCCCGTCTCCCAGGAGCTCCGGGGAGCTGAGCAGAGGAAGGACTGTTACCGGCAGGGGAGCGGCAGGGGAGTTATGCTGGCAAAGGGCTGACTGAGGCAAGGCTCCTTCCTCTAGGGGCCGGGCGCCGGCAGGCAGCGGCCTCAGGGTTCGGACCAGCGTGTGAGAGTCCACTCCTGGGAGAGGCTGTAAGTAAGTATTGTAGGTATTACGGTATTGAGCCTTCGTTTGGTGATGTAGGACTGAGCACAGATGACTCCATTCTGGGCCTGTTGTCTCTTGTTTGAGTGTGACAATTTGAGCAAACCGCGGGGAGTGGAGGTAACTGCCCCCCCCCCCCCCATTACCACTGCTCAAATGAAAATAAATACAAATAGTGCAATACAAATGGTGTGATGAACATCGGGCAAGCAGGCTGTTCCATTTGTACCTAGTGGGTGGGTTAGTGCTGCGCAGGCCTGCTGGGGGGTGATTTGCTTACTCCGCTTTCTGTAGAGGGAGGAAGAGTGACCAGGCTACTGCTGTTGAGTTCTCCCTTAAGACACCGATGGAGGGCAGGCAGCCACGCAGTCATTGGGGGCAAAGATTGTGGGGCTGGACGGGGTTGCTCCCCGTCCTTACCTGGCTCACCCACGACTGGCTGCAGAACTGGGTTAATTACTTGACCTTGGTCCTCACCTTGGCCTAGATTGGACTCTTCCAGGGAGCTATAAAACTCCCAGTGCCATCCTCAGTAAGAGCTGATATGGGGGTGTGGCCCGGGCATCAGGGAGGGTTTGAATGTAACCTTGTTCAGCCTCATCTTCTTCACCTTGAAAAGGGAGATGTTATCAGAATTTGCCGGACCTGAGGCTGTGGGAGTGAAGGAGGAACCGCACAGAAGGGCGGGGCCCAGTGCTGGCTCGGCCATGCCCGTGCCCGTATGTCTCCATCTCTGCTTTCCTAGCCACAGGGGCACGGGGGGCGACATTTATTCCGTCTCTGTGCCACAACTACTTATTGGATACTTGCTCTGGAAGCACTGGGATGTGACTGTAAACGAAACGGGAAAAGCCGCTCTCTGGCACTCACCCTCCAGTGGAACTGGACTTGAAAGGGCTGCCTTGTTTGGCATAAGCTGCGTGGCTTTGGGAGAATTCTCTTGGCTGCTTTTTGCCATGCGAGTTGTGAGTGCTCTTGCCGAAACTGCGCTAGGCACCGTTGCTTTCCTCTGCCCGCTCTGATCTCCACATTGGGAACTGGGACCCACTCAGCGAGAGCTGTGCGTCTACAACCATTTTCCCTGGAAGCCCCACACCCTGGCCCTGTCGCTCTGGCAGGAAGCGAGGGCCGCAGCTGTGGCTCCCGGTCAGGTCTGCATTGCACTCGGGAGGCTCCTGAGAGCAAAACCGAGGGCTTCTGCTTGTGCGGCCAGTCCTCCCCGGGGAATCGTAAACACACTTCTCAGTTTATAAAAAAAAAAAAGTAAATCGATTACATGTCAATATAAAGCACATATTTTATGAAAAATAACCCTATTTTAAAAAATTCCATCTAGTTTGAGTAGTGGCCCTGTTTCCTATTTTTGCAAATCTCTTGAATGTCCGGCTTAGGAGCAGATGACGGGCTCTCCTGACTCTGCGTTTGGCCTCGGGAAATGTGCCTGGAGAGAGCACGTGAAGAAGTCCTGGCTCACTCAGATATGTACCTGCAAAGGGAAGAACGCTTAATAGCCTTGAACTTGACAAGTTTTGTGGTTTTTATGTTTTTTTTTTTTTTTTAGTTTTTTACAATTGATCTTTAGAGAGAGAAGAAGGGGGGAGGAGAGAGAGAGAGAGAGAGGAGAGAGAGAGAGAAACATTGTTGAAAGAGAAACATCAATCGGCTGCCTCCTGCATGGCCCTGCCTGGGGATTGAGCCTGCAACCCAACCCCAGGCACGTGCCCTGACCGGGAATCAAACCATGACCTGCAGGTGCACAGGATGATGCCCAGCCCACTGAGCCACACCGGCCAGCGACAGTGGTTTCTTTCCCCTCACTGCAATGGGACATGAATGCATCTGAATGCACTGACTGTGACAGTGACACCAGTGGCCTCTTAACTCTGGATGACTGCCCTGGCAGGGTTTTGGAACATGATGTGTCCATCACTAGGAAACTCTCGGCTACTGAATCAGGCAGATCTTCCAAAGGTGGACATAATACATTCCACAAGGTTAACAAAATCACTCGCTGCCCTGGCCAGGTAGCTCAGTTGGTTAGAGTGTCATCCCGATATGCCAAGGTTGTGGCTGCGATCCCTGGTCAGGGCACATACAAGATGCAACCAGTGAGTGCATAAATAAGTGGAACAACAAAGCGATGTTTCTCTCTCTCTCCCTTCCTCTCTCTGCCTCAAATCAATTAAAAATCACATTTATTAATGTCTCCATGGATATATCAGAAACACTGTTAAGTATGGGGCGAGCTGTCAAGTTCATAGTAGCAGACACATGTTTTCCAAAATCCTATTTTTTCCTTGAGAGTTTCCATTTTATTATTAGCAACATGATACTGCCCATTGTTTTTCTTTAGTGACGGGCTCAGTCTGCTCCCTGCCGACCAGACACCCACCTGAACAGCCACAGCCCCTCATTCTGTCCAGTAAGCTGCTGCTCCACAGACACAGTGGCCTCGCCAGCCACACTAACCATCACTCTGGGCTGCCCCCCGACGCAGCCCACGCTCACGGGAAGAGTCCTGCTTCGTGCAAACTTCTCACCTGCCACGGGGTGCTTATAAGACGTCCACTCCAGACTGCAATGCAATAAGTTATAATTTTCCCAGCTCAATTGTTTCTCTAGTGATTTCAATAATTAAGTGAATGCACCAATGGCTTTATTCCTCAACGGCACTGGAATTCTTTTCCATCTGTCTGTCTCTTTCCTGCCGTGCATGGGGATGGAGGATTCAGGACAGCTAGCGGAGGCTGGGGCCTTTGCCTTCCCTGGGGCTGAGGCTCCAGCGGTTTCCACAGACGCGTCCTTGTGCCCTCAGTGCCAACATCACGCAGTACAGCACGCAAGCACCCAGTACGTTCTGAGTGGTTGGCCTGAGGCCTCTGATAAGACAGCCGGTGGGCGATCCTTTGGAAACGGCTGCTCCAGAGGATGTGGATGTTTATCGCCACGGCTGTTTTTTGGTAACAACAACTGGAAATAACCTAAATGTCCAGGAGAACAGATAAACAACTCGCCCCATGTTCACCAGGGGACTGCTGCACAGCAGTGAAAATGGATGACCTGGAACCAGAGGTGTCAGCACACACATGCACACACACATGATTATACACACACACACATAATGTGCACACATGCATACATATGCACATGCCTGCACACACACTCACACATGGACATACACCCACATGCATACACACTCACACATATATGCACACATATGTTTAGTGTTGGTTTTGACAGACACTGCAGAGATGTCTTTCATTTCAACAGTTTTACTGTATACATGTGTTTTTCTTGAGGGGATGGATACTACATAATCCTCAATGTAAATCATTATGTAAACATAAAGTACCAAGTTCTATTATTTTATTGATTACTAGAGGCCTGGTGCATGAAAATTCATGCACTGGAGGGGGGTCCCTCAGCCCGGCCTGCCCCCTCTCACAGTCTGGGAGCCCTCAGGGGCGGGAGACGACCCAGCGATCAGGGGAAGGCGACACCCCATCACACCCCTGCTACTGCCACTGCTGGCAGCGCAAGCCTCGGCCGGCCCTGGTTACCTGAGCCTCGGGCGGCCCTGGGCGGCTGGGGGGGCTGAAGGGACTGGGGGACTCCAGAGGCAGGCGTGAGGAGCAGCCAGGTCTGCCTGGGGGTGGGCCTGGCCTTGCCATGTGCCTGCCACCCCGACAGGGCTCAGGGAACTGGGCACCGCCATCTTGTGGCTGTGGGCGCTGCCATCTTTGAGGGCAGGGCAGTCAATTAGTATATTCCCTCCTTATTGGCTGTGGGCACTGCTATCTTTGCAATGGTGTGAAGGTCAATTAGCATATTGCCTCTTTATTAGATAGGACTAGAGGCCGAATGCATGAAATTTGTGCAAGAGCAGGCCTTATTTTCCCCAGGCTGCCGGCACCAGTTTCCCTCTGGCACCTGGGACCCGGGCTTCCCTCGCAGCCCCAGCTTTGTCTGGAAGGTCGTCCAGTCTAATTAGCATATTCTGCTTTTATTATTATCGATTGTAAGATAAAATCCAAAAAGAAGGGGGAAAAAGGGGGAAAAAACCCCAGAAAGAAGCTCCCGGGAATCCCCACCGCCCATTAACGCTTGGTGTATTGCACACGTGCACATGTCAGTGCGCCTGCCGAGCCTCAGCACACAATGTGGCCCCTTTGTTCATTTCATGGCTGTACATGTCCCCAGTGTTGGTGACAGCAGGGCAGAAGTCTTTGGTCAGTTCTTCTGTAATTACATAAGGAAGGTGGTAATTATAAATTGAGATGTCATGAGCAAGAAATTATATTTATCAACTAAAAGAAGTTCTCCCCCCCCGCCCGCCCCAATTCTTCATGATTAGCCTTTCTACCTGATTCTGATAAGTATGTTCCCTACTAATAGATGTCATTTTCATTTCTAAGGTCAGCCTCATCAACAGCCTCCGACAAGAAACCGAGGACCTGGCTAAGCAAACGCAGGTGGGCCTGGAAGTCAGCGCCGTTACCGACCCCAACAGGCTCCCCTGGGCTGGGAGGCGGCGCAGTTTGCGCTGCTGGTGCCCAAGTGCTGTTTGGTTGGCAGAAATGAGTTTGTAACTTGGTGTGGGCTTTCGGAATCGGAGGGACTGCCAAAGGGTCTCAGATGGGGCCTTGATGTCTAATTAGAATACGAGCAAGCTGTGAGCATCAGAGATCAGCAGAGGCGATCCACGCCATCTTCTCTGTGGAATGTACACAGAGGGGACTGAATGTTCCCAGCGTGGGGGTGGCACACAGGCTGCAGACAGGCGCTCACCCCGATGCTCAGGCCACCTCAGGATCGTGTCCCTCCTCTTGTTCTCATGATCAACTCACTTTCTAATGAGGTCTTTTTTTTTAAAGTACATTTTTCTGGCCCTGGACAATTTTACACAGTGACTAGAGCGTTTGGCCCAGGTTTGATTCCTGGTCAAGGGCACGCACGTACCTCGGTTGCAAGCTGGATCCCTGGCCTCGTAGGGGCACCATGGGAGGCAACCAATCGATGTGCCTCTCCCACATCAATGTTTCTCTCTCCCTCTCACTCCCGCTACCCTTCCACTCTAAAAGCAATGGAAAAGTATCCTTGAGTGAGGATTTTTAAAAAGTACATTTTTCTGGATAAAAATTAATGTGGCAATAAACTAGGTTCATGTGTCATAAGTAGACAGTAACTGTAAAATATATAGGTAATACAAACAAAACCATGGTGTTAAGTTCTACCTGTATTCTCTTGCCTGAGAAGTCTCCGACCCTAATGCTGCACCTACGTCTTGCTCTCTCTGGGTTACCAGGGGGATCAGAAGAGAGAGAGGTGGTGAAGACCCATCAGCTCTGGAAGGAGGCTTCCGCCTCAGTGATTTCAGACAGAGTGGGAGCAACGTTCCCGCTCATTCTGTTTGCGTGTCTGCCACAGGCCAGGTGTAGGCACACAATAGACAGTGGTCTACCAGGCTCTGTCTCTGTGGCCCCTAAAATGACCTCATGGACCCTGGGAGTCACTGGTGGCCGTGCCTTGCAGTTTAGGAAGGACTCCGAGGTTGGTAAGAGAACAGGTGTGTTTCATTTCTAAGCATCAGAAGCTGTTGTGAGGATGAGGAAGGATGTGGGGAGGGCCAGCCAGCGCCTGCCCGCATCACTGCCTTGCTCCTAAGCACTGTCACTGCATCTCCAGGCGGAGAGCCACCGGCCTCTACGGCGATGTCAAGAGGAGATGGGTTGTCACCGCCTTGGAGCTGCAGG